CATACGAGTTAGTACTGGAGGCTTATCGCCAAAAGTTTAGGTTTCATCGCAAACAAGATAATCAAACTTATATGAAATTTGCCCACGAAAAAGAGGTTTATTTTGAACGATGGTGCAGTTCTATGCATATTGGCAACAGTTTCGACAAACTAAGACAATTATGCCTAATTGAGGAATTTAAACGATAACCCAAAATTTTCAGAAGATAGACTCTCTTTAATATAAACACCAGTAAAAAGATTTGATAACCCAAACATTTTCAGAAAACAGACTTCCTGTAGATAAAACACTTGTAAAAAGATTCGATAACCCAAATATCTTCAGAACATAGGCTCTCTTTAAGTTAAGCATTAGTAAAAAGATTCGATAACCCAAACATTTTCAGAAGATAGACTCTCTTTAGGTTAAAAAACTTGAAAAATATTCGATAACCCAAATATTTTCAGAAGATAGACTCTCTTTAGTTAAACCCTAGTAAAAATATTCGATAACCCAAATGTTTTCAGAATATAGACTTCCTGTAGATAAAACATTTGTAAAAAGATTCGATTACCCAAGCATTCTCGGAAGACAGATTCTCTGTAGATAAATGGCGAGGAAAGAGATCCGAGAGTCCAAACACCTTAAAATGGTAAACTATTTGTAGATAAATTATAAGGAAGTATATTCACAAACCTGGGAGTTATTGAACTTCTGTGAGAAAAAAATTTTGCTGTAATTCAATCTTCTTACTTAAGTCAGACATATTATATGTTTACGTCACACTCACAAGTTCATTTATATAAAGTATATTTTATGTATTTGAAGGTTATAACCACATTACACGTTGTAAGCCTATCAAACAGAGGTTGGAAACCTGTATTGCAACCAAACCAGACCGAACTTTTGAAATTCGGCCTTCATGAAAACTAGAGGAAATTATCTTTCTAACGATAGTTTATTCCATGGATAGCATGTTTTGAATATTATATCAACACTTTTAAATTAGACCGTTATTCACTCTACATACGACTGTTTTACATGAGTAAGATGCTGTTTTCGATATAATATTTTGATAGGGAAAAATGTTCATCTTTACTGGGCGATAGATGGCGCTTAATGTAATTACTAATTCTATAGCCCGGTTTATAGAAGTATTAAATATTGATAGGAAATACTTCTCTTGCACCGGATAGTTCTTTTATTGTATATTGGTTTATGTAGCTCTAATATTTCTATGGTTTTGATAGACAGTTTGATCGTCGACGATAATTAAGTTCTAATATTATATCACTATTTTGGTTGGTGCTGTCATCTGTAGTTAGAAAATCGAGTAAAAACGAAGCATATGATAGTTGGTAGACATAGAATAAGATTTCTAGATTTGCTGCAGTATAAAAACCAATTATATTTGCTACTTCTGCTTTTGTCATCATTACAAAGAACCAAAAGCTGTCCAGTTTTCGATACAGAAGGCTGTATTTAATTATTAAAATGCATATATTGTGCCTGAGTTATAGAAAACTTCATTACTTTTTCCAAATTATGTTTTTCAACCACAATTTTAGTACTCGGGTATAATTATTCCGTGATCTCTCTATGTGTTCACTGTGACAAACTTTTGGAAAAGCAAATTCAACAAATTCATTTATATATCTATCTATCCTTCCAAACTTATCATGTTGCGCACAAAAATATGTGTTACAAACAGCCTCATATTTTTGATATACTTCTAACCATACATAGAATATATTGTTGTTAACAAATGTAAATTTTTCGAGAGTTTTTTAAACTTTGAAATCTTCTGAGTAGCGATTTTGATAAATCACTGGATAAATTAACAAATTCTTCGACTTAACTGTGTTAAGCAAGAAATGTTTTGGGGTTAATAAATATAAGATGTGAAAAAAAGCAAGACTTGGTGATATTAGTTGTATATAGCTCATTGAATTACAAAAAGCTCATTGAATTACATAAAGCTCATTGAATTACAACTGATTATCCCGCTGAACTACCGTATGAACTACCTTCCTATGAACTACCACTGAACTATCTTCCTATGTAATATGTATGGTGTTTTGAGATGTCTTTTACTCACCACAGTGATCTTATATTTATATAGAATTTCTAGAATATTCGGTATTAATCCTAGTAACTTATTTTTGTAAATTATGCAGCCGGCAAGCTGTCTAAAATAATAACAAAATAAATTATCTTCCTAAGACTATCTTGTAAGATGTACATTTGAGTAAGTCATTTATGAAATTATCTGTTGATCTACTTATACTTTATTTAATCTTCTTTGTCACTGAAAAGGTGTGCCAATTTGTTTGTAGGTTATGAATGAATACACTTGTTAAATTAGCCTTTGCTCCAAAGCGCTCCCAGTGGCTCAGCGGTAAATTTGTGGACTTATAACATTAAAAATCTAGTTTCGATACACGTGATGGGCCAAGCACAGATAACCACCCATTGTGAATCTTTTGTGCTTAACAACAAACAATGCTTCAAAGGCACCAGTTTTGTTTTCCCGACAGATCTTTAAAATATTTTGTTAGAAGCACTGCTGCCATCTGCTGGTCAAATTGTAGTTGAGTAGGTTAACAGAGTTCGTAATTCAAAAAATATTTATACATACATTTAAGAGTGTGTTTGTTTGGTTTTAATTAAGCACAAAGTTACACAATGGGCTATCTGTGTTATACCCACCACGGGTATCGAAACCCGGATTCTAGCGTTGTAAGTCCGCAAACATACCGCTGTGCCACTGGGGGGGGGGGGGCACATTAATAAGACTTCAAGAGAAGATAAAGTTATTGTACATTTAATGTAACTAGTGTATCCAGTCTTTTCATTTTTCTAGTTGATAATAGAATACAGCATATTCTCTAATCAAATAGTGATCACAAGTTTTAACTTTTCAATATTAAAATACAACTTCAAAAATAATTGTTCTTGAAAAACAAACTAGAAATAATAATTTCTTCCCCCAATTTCTTCTAAGCTTTCTTTTAATAAGCTATCTGGAATATCTACTTAGCGCTTGCATATTCTGGAGCCAGGCTGATTAGAACCCCTCCTCCCCCAGGTGATCCTGGATGCACTAGTATGAATGAGTCACTATTTTAAATGAAAGTCATTTCAGGCATGGATTTTTTATTTTATTTACAATCATTTATAAAACTAACAATCTTTCACCAGAAAGTACGAGGTCTTAAGTGATTTTTTATTGTCATCAAGATGGTATCTGAGATGTTGTTACAGATTGCAGAAAAAAGGTAAGGATGGAGATAGGTGCAACCATGGAGCTTTCAAACTTAACCAGTGTTTCATTTCTTTATCTTATCACACCTTTTCCTCTTCTTGTTTGTTTGTATGTCTTTTGCGCCTTTACAGGGGTCGAGCATGGGTAAGTGGTGTGTCAGACTGTAAATCTGGTGGTCCATAGTCTACGAAACCGTTCTCTGAACTTTACGGCCATGGATTAGTTATAGTAATTACTGGCAAACCTCAACTATGCGATTAGCGAAGACCAAGAGTTCGTGAAGGATGTCGCTGACTGTCTTGCTTCCCTTTAGTCTATCAGTCCACAATAAGGAACGCTTAGTGTAGATAGCCTACGTGTAGCTTTGTCCGCAACCATCAGTTTTACAAATTTATTGATTTCTGTTTTTTAATTACCCCCTGCATATTCTCACGTCAGTTTAATTTCATTTAATTTCTCAAACCACTCTCAGTTTCACTAACTCAGGCTCAACAAAATTGTGGGTCACATTTTTAGGGGGTCGCTACGTCAACAAGGGACACTGTTTTGTTTCTGTTCAAATTTAAAAGTTTTATTGATTTTATGGTTTTTAATAAACAAATAGCAAACCGTATTCTGCCGATGTTATATACCTTAGTATATATTCTGTTTTGATTCATGAGCGCAAGTAGTGGGTGTGAGGTGGGTTTTTTGGTTTAAAAAAATTATCTGAAGAGGTATGCTACTCATTCTCTTTAGTCCCCCTGTGGCTAAGTGGTAAGCTTGGGGACTCATAAAGCTAAACATTGGATTTCCATACCCGCGATGGCCAGAATACACACAGCCCATTGTATAGTTTTGAACTTAATAACGAACATTACATTTTTGTCTCCAAAACTAGTATCCCAAACATTATCGATTTCTGGTACCTCACCCATTATAGATTTCTAGTACCCCATCCATTATCGATTTCTGGTACCCCATCCATTATAGATTTCTAGTACCCCATCCATTATAGATTTCTGGTACATCATCCATTATAGATTTCTGGTACCTCATCCATTATCGATTTCTGGTACCTCATCCATTATAGATTTCTGGTACCTCATTCATTATAGATTTCTGGTACCTCATCCATTATAGATTTCTAGTACCCCATCCATTATAGATTTCTGGTACCCCAGCCATTACAGATTTTTGTCTACGCCGCTATAATAAGATATTTTGCTACACAAATACGTGTAGAACACTTTCAATTTTAACAGGATAAACAAATTATTTATTTAATTAAAAGAAGACAACAGAAATATACTTGGCGAAAGTGCTGTTTTTTTTTGTATTTTGCAAAACTACAAAAGTATATCTGAGCTTTGCTCAACGTTGGTATCGAAACCCGATTTTTAGCGTTATAATCCCTCAAACTCACCGCTGAACCACCAAGAGGCCTTTTAACGAAAACAATAATTAGCTTTCTAATGCATTTTGATATCTACGTTTGTTGTAACGCAAAACAGAAAAACTGTTTTTCAATATTGATGGCAACAACCAGTTGTTTTAGTAATGGAAAAACTGGATAGCAGTTAATAAATGACATTAAAAGCTTACGATTCTGAGATGTCTAAAACTTGAATAACCAGCATTCAGTAACACATGCTAACTCATTGTTTACGCCAAAGGCCATACAGTGTTCACAGACGTCTGGTTTCAGGTAGCGGAATGACGTCAGTCGAGTCTGTAGTTTCACAAATTGTTGTATAGGTTCTTTGTATGTGGAGACTATCAGTGTATGTAAAAATGCACATAATGTTAAATATTTCATTGGGTATATTATCATTTGTATCAGTATGCACTTTTATGCCATTCTTTTGTTTTTAAATTCCTGTGTCAATGTATATAGCTTATATTGACAAATGCTGTTCATACCTGTCGTTGTTAGATCAAGCCACGCTTAAATTTTGCGTATACTTCCGGCGAACGCCAAGCAGGTGTCCTACATCTGTAGATCAGATTAGTACTTAGACGGACGTAATAACGACCGCCAGGTGGCTATGGTGAGTGTTCGTAGCTGTACTGAGCGTTAGGTTTTAACAATCGTCATAAGCATACACAGTACAGCGCGTTTCTGAAGAGAAACTGGATTCAAAAAAATTCTTAATTACTTGAACTTGCGATACATTTTTTCATTAACTTCTTTATTCGTTATGCCATTATTTGGTAAAAAGAAAAAGACGGACGTTGAAAATGGAGTTTCGTCGGAAAACATCCAGGAGCCGCCGAACAACGAGAATGAAATGAAGAACGGGTCGAACCAGCTATCGAAAGAAGAAACCACTGACAAGTTACCTGTTCAGAAACCCAAACTAGTGTTCCATTGTCAGCAAGCCCAAGGTAGTCCAACAGGGATTATATCAGGCTTCACCAACATCCGGGAATTATACCAGAAAATTGCAGAATGTTACGATTTCCCTGTTTCAGAGGTGAGGCCTAATTAATGACTAACTAATTTGAAAACATATGCTTTAATGTTTGACGATCGAAGTATAGTTTTTGTAATTCTTATACACTGTACAATCTTCTTTCTATGGATCTTACGCTCTTTGTGTAAATTTCAAGATAAGTGTATGCTAAGCTGGTCGATCAGTATGCTAAGAAAAACACGTAATGAGAAAGAACTGGTGTCACTCAATGGTCAGTTTAATGGCTGGAGTCTTTTATGCTTAAAATAGCATATTTTCTCAATTCTTACTAAATACGTTAGAGTATAGTTATCCACGAGTTCTCAGACATTTTTATTTTATTTTATCTTGACACACTTGTATTGTTCTAGCTTCTTTTTTCTTTCTTTCTTTTTTTTTTTTTTTGAGCTTGCTTAGAATCGGGTCATTTGTTAACTGTACCAGATTCAGTTTCCTTTAATTTACTTTGCAATAAATATAAAAAATATATATACGTATAAATTTAACAGTAGAATTTATCAGATTTTTGGGGAATTTGTTAGATTTTAATCTTTTTTTGTTGTTGTTTGTATTAAGGAATTACAATAAAAGATTTACTCCCCCCCACCACCACCACACAAAAGTAATTAGTATAGTAAGTAAGCAAAATATGTCGGTTAACCCTAGCCAAAAAACACCCGCCTATGTTAAGTCTATAATATTTAATATCCTTATTCTTTATGGTGCATTTTCTACTTCATGAATCAAACTGGAATGATGCATCACATTTCATGGTTGATGTTTTATTCTAAACTGAGGCTAACCAACCATTAGTTTCTGATGGGGGGGGGGGGAATAGTAATAATACTAATATAATCAATCATCAGTTGATAACTGAAAAAATACAGAAACTGAGCTACACACAATTATAAACTGTAACAGAATTTAGTTGTAGGAGACACATCAATAAAATAAAATTCGAGACTTTTTGTATAACGTGTGTGTGTGTGTGTGCAATTCACGTTGAAACAATGTCTTTCACTTACACTTCAAACATAACAAATCACGCTCCAATTACAGACAGCTTTATATCGGGTTTCACTCGTTGGTTTGGTTCATCTTACGTTTAGGGATTGAACACGTACATCACCATGGCAATACGGTCAAATGGAACGCATGCCATTGGACAGTTTTGTTAAAGTTTCTTCGATAGTACTATGGCTCACCTTCCTACGAGTAAAATAGTGGCATTTAAGCTACCATGTTACACACACCGTGTTCTGTTTAAGTATGTAACACATTTTATATTTGTAATTTACCAGTACGGTGAGAAACTACGGACTACAATCTCCAATTCGTTAGACTATATGTTACTAATACACTTTGTTACGTATTAGAATTTCAAATGGTCTGAAATTAAGTTAATTGATAAATTTAAAATTAGTAGTTAAATTCAAGTTCAGACCATTTGAAATTCTAATACGTAACATAATAAATTCTTTGTATAATAATAACAATAATAATGTACCGAGGATATTAAGTTATTAAATATACATTGAAGGGCAAATAATGACGTGTTTTTCTAGCTAACTCGTTAAGTCATGGCATTAAGTTAGGTTTTAGTTAGTAAATAAAAATGTTGTAAACAGCTTCTCTTTCCGACTTTGTGCTTAATTAATTAATTCTTCAAATAGTGGCTGCCCTTGAACACGAGTAGAACAACACGTGATTCTCATTACATGTTCACATAAAGGTTTGGTAAACTGACATTACATTAAAATATTTATTTTTTGTGTCTTTTAGTATCACTGTAATTTTTGTTTTGATACGTAAGAGGGGTTTTATATACCGCAGATATTCAATGCTAACAGTACTTGATAAAAGTAGCTTATTCTAGGAAAACAACAAAAAAACATCATTTGGAATTTATACAACTGATTTTTGAAGTAATTCGATTAACTCTTCGATAAATAAATAATATATACATAATAAATTATTAGCTATGCTCGTAATTGTTTAGTATAGCAGTCTAATCCGCTTACAATTAGCCGTGAGTCAAATATTTTTATAATTCAAAAAATCGTAAGCCTATTTCTCTTTCTTAGTGACTTAAATAAATTGATTTAAAAATTACAGTTCAACAATTTAATATAGATCACACCGAAACCGTTGTTGTCCAAGCAGCTGATGATATGTATAGTACTGTTGCGTCAGCGAGTCACATGACTACTATGACGCAACGTTTCTAGAACTATCATGTACTTTGGCGAATGTTCAAGTTCTTACTAGATATAGGGTAGGCGGATATATATAAGAGGGGACAACGTGACGCGGGAAGGTGTGTATAGACAGTGAGTAATTGAACTGCAGTCAGAGAGCACGAGAGACATTACAGCGTTTGTTTAGCGCGATTGTTGAAGTTGAGTGTATCGGTAAAGTTATATTTGGAAAGAATAAACCAGTTTTTATTAAGAAAGAACTTGTGTCGCTTAAGTTTCGTCGGAACGAAGTTACGGAAAATCAATTAACAAACGGAGACGTAACAAATTGGTGTCAGAGAGTGGGATAGAAAAAAAAAAGAGAAGAAAAATGGAAACGAGAGGCGGAAAATCAAACTACAGCTTAGCAGACTTGATGGCAGCAATACAAAAACAAGAAATGAAACAAGAAGAGAGACAACAGCAGTTGCAAGAAAATATGCAACAGTGGCAGCATGAACAACAAAATAAACAAGAGAAATTACAGCAGTTGTTAGAGGATAAAGAAAAGAAACAAGAAGAACGAGAAATTAAACAAGAAGAGAAATTACAGCAGTTGTTAGAGGAAAAAGAAAAGAAACAAGAAGAACGAGAAATTAAACAAGAAGAGAAATTACAACAGTTGTTAGAGGAAAAAGAAAAGAAACAAGAAGAACGAGAAATTAAACAAGAAGAGAAATTACAACAGTTGTTAGAGGAAAAAGAAAAGAAACAAGAAGAACGAGAAATTAAACAAGAAGAGAAATTACAACAGTTGTTAGAGGAAAAAGAA